AGTCTATCTATCTATCTATCTATCTATCTATCTATCTATCTATCTATCTATCTATCTTTCTATCTATCTATCTATCTATCTATCTATCTATCACACAAGACCCCCCCCCTTTCCACCATTAATCGATCAACTCTCGACTGAGAACAAACAGACAGACACGTAATATTATAAGTAAAATAATACATGTATAAGAAAGTAGAACTCTGTGTGGAGGGTCAAGGTCGTTCTGTCTCTCACATCTGCTCAATACCCACAGATGTTTTTTGTTTTGTTTTTGTTTGTTTTAGTAGACGTTTTACGGCGCTCGCAGCTAGCTACATAAGGTCATATGAGCGCCACGGGGTGGGTGTCAACAGAGAAGTCCTTACAGGGAATCAGACTTACTCTGCTCACCTCTCTAGCTTCAACAGCACAAAGTCTGCATCGACTATCAATCAAGGCACCCCGGAATAAGCAGTTCACAAGAGTGTGTCAAACATACATAAGAAGTAGACAATAAATGACGATAGTAAGGATGAGGAAAGAAAAAGCAGCAGCTCCCTGTTGCAGTTCTGGCACGGTTATGAGCGTGACATTGATGAATCAGCCCATTTACAATTACACCTTATAATAATAATTGCATTTATATAGCGCATATCCATGCTCAAGAGCTTGCTCTATGCGCTTTACAACTATTATTACCCCAGCAGACCCTCTGAGAACACTCAGAAACATTCTCAGCTTCCGCGGAAGCATACAGTGCAAGCTGCGGATTTCACGCGCTCAAACACTATCAAACTGACAAGATATTTCGCTGTCTATAGCTGGGTACCCATTTCCACCTGGGTGAAGTGAGGAAAATTTGTGCAAAGTGCCTTTCCCATGGACACAACGTCGGGTCCCTGACGGGATTCGAACCCACGACCTTACGGTTGTGAGTCCGAGAGCCTAACCACTAGGCCACCGACGCCACCTTCTTCTACTGTGCATAAGTGCTCGAGATGTTAATGTCGTTCTTTCATTATACCCTCTGTGCAGGACGGAGAAATCTATATGTGAGGCAGCGTGGTGGAATCAGGCTCTCGTCAATTTTGGGGCATGTAGAGTTATTGGTATCATCTTAAAGCTTGTTCATTTGTCTTTATTTGGATGAAACAATATCCATTTATCTTGAATACAATTCGAGATGTTAGCGAAAGAAGGAGGTGGAGGTCACCTTTTTTCAGAAGTAACATTAGTGAGAAAATGGCCGCTAAAGATTCGTTATTTAATTAACTTAAAGAGTTCGTGGTAACTGAAAATTTACATTTTTTTGTGCCTTTAATCAACGTTTTTCAGAAAAATTCACACAGAATTGAGTTCTTTAATGCGCATAAAAGGTGTTAAGCCAAAAAACATAAAATTGATAAAAATTCACAAAATTGCGGAAAAATGCAAGTTTCTTCACTTTGATTATTTTGACGAGAGCCTGATTCCACCACGCTGCCTCACATTTACCTTGGATCACCCCGACCCCAGAAACTCGATATAATAAGCGTCTGCCAGTGTCTACAGGATGAAGGTTTTCTTCGGCTCGACCACAAAGGCCAAGGGTCATGTGTTATTGGCATGTGTTATTGGCATGTGTTATTGGCATGTGTTATTGGCATGTGTTATTGGCATGTGTTATTGGCATGTGTTATTGGCATGTGTTATTGGCATGTGTTATTGGCATGTGTTATGTCTATCGGTTTCTTCAGCCCTCTCCCCCCCCTCTCCCTTTTTTAACCTTG